ATATATATATATATATATATATATATATATAGTTTCAGTGGTTGCTTTGTATTCGATATTTTGATCTGCTTTGGCATGAAGATTTCATTTGTGCTATAGAACTTTTAAATAAGTCTGAGGAACTCTTTCATTTAATTTACAGATTTCGAATATATATATGTATATAAAAATTTCTCGGTCTTGTCGTGGTGCTGAGCGATTGGCTCCGAGCTTGACTCTGAGTAGCGTTCAACGAACATAAAGTGGAGGTTAAAAGAAAAAGTCCGCATCTGCAACCATAAATGAAAATAATGCAAAAACAGATGCGGTTAGGAAAAGCTATAAAGGGTGTAAAAGAACATACTGCCAGTGTACCGGAATTCGGTGCCAGCAGAGTGATTACGCTTAAAGCAGTCGTCCGTGGAATTGAAACTCCACGAACCAAGTGGCCAAAAAGGTGCTTAAAGCGGTCTTTGACCGATTTGGGAGAATGCCGAGACGGAGATGGCATTGTTTTGTTCTCGATATTGCGAGAAATCTTTGTGTGCTATTACCCTCGAAGAACTCAAGAAACAATCAAATTCTGTGATCACCAGTATTGCAGGTCGTCCGTGCTCACAGGAACGGTTCTTGGAGAAGTCCACGAAACGTCAATTTACAAAGTACTCACTTCGAGGAACAAACAATGTTGAACCTGGCAGTTCGCAAAGAGCACGGGAACTAGCTTTACACTACGTAATATGACATAAAGAAAGCATTCAATTCAGTTAATCACGAATACCTGATTAAGTGTATTGAAACGCTTAATATGCCATCGTGGATCAGCAGGTTTCTAAGAAGTGTAAAGCTACTTATTGAGAAATGATGTCTTCCTGGTCGGTTACACTGAAAAGCAGTGGAGAAACTATAATGGAAAAGAAAATAAGACGAGGGACGTAGTGATAAAAAGTGTTCCGTATGTGATGACTTGGGGTGGGATTGTGACGAACTTCCACAAATGCTATACAAAGGAGATTTGGTATATCAGATCGGGTTGAAGATGAATATTTTCCTTCAAGTCGAAGTGTTTCATTACCAATTCTGATTACTAATGGAGACAGAAAAGAAGGAAATAGAAAGAACACTTTCTAAAAAAGATGACCATTCCAACAAAAAGAATGTTGAGATGGCTGATTGTCATACCGTTGTTCGCTCTGCAAACACGATCATTTCGTTGGACGTTTCTTATGGGTTAACATCAAAAGTAGAATTATACTACAGCTAATGAACAATAGTGCCAATTTGCACAAAACAAGATCTTTAAATAAATGTAACTACCAATGTCGCCAATGACTTAATCTTGTTCCATGCAAAAATGCGATAGGAGCTGCAATTTGACATGAAAAGGAATCATCACAGTAACTTGTGCCGAAATCTGAATAACATCTCTTAGAGTATGCATTGATTAGAAGAGGAAATGAAGTAAGGAAAATGCTATGAACTGCTAATAAATGCGAAAATATCGTTCTGCATATATAGATAGCACTTGTCTGCTAAAATTTTGCATTTAAAGAACTTTTTATCCATTTAATTTTATCAGACTCCTGTGACCCACCGCATACAATTTCATCTCCCTTATCATTGATTTACAGTGAAGGACAGCAGTGTCAGTTATGGTGATTAAACGCCTGAGTGAATTCCTTCGCTGTGATTACTTATTTTTAATATTTTTGTTATGATAGTATTTAGTAGAACGTGACTGCATTTGCTATGCAAAAAATCAGTATTTAGTAGAACGTGACTGCATTTGCTATGCAAAAAATCAGAAAGAATCCAGATTTCACAAAATTAAATTAAATTATAATTTTTGATTATTGACTACAAAATTTACGATGCCATATTATCAGTGCTACAGTGATTGAAAATGTTGAGAGAAAATAGTCCTTAATCAAGAAAAACTCTTCAATTTTAAATCATAATTTAAGAAAAATGTTAATGGCGTGCCTCGATCATGTTATCTTGAAAAGTTTTTGATACCTTTAAAAAAAACACTTTCAATAAAATGGTTGAGAAAAAAAATACAAGCTGCAAATTCAATGATATCACATAACAAACTTTCGGATGATTTGGCAGCGGGAAGTTGGGCGATTTCAGCAAGACTTTACTAGAAACATGCGTTTTCAACTCAATATTTCTTGCAACCATTTGAAAATGTAAAAAGTAGTTCATGTATTTTAGATTCTTCACTTGGCCAGCCCGCTTAAAACTTAATAAATTGAATATAAGTAGGAATCATCTGTTCTTGATCGTTTGTCTGACTACCAAATGAGAAAATTCGTCATTTCATAATAGTACGCCTTAAACCTTCTATACATTCTCTTAGTGAACAAATGCAAAATGACTGGTTCTATGAAAAAATCTAATGATTTATTTCACACTATTAACTTCTAAACTTCCCAACATTTATTGATTAACTCCTCTGCATTTATTGACCTTTATTCCTGTCTTCATCCATTTTTAACCACGTAAATCCGAAGTTTTTCATAATATTTCTAGACGCCTTTCATTTTGAAAAATATCGATGCACTGAACTTTCTGCAATTACTGAAAACTTTATTTTTTAAGCTAAGAAATTAAGATAAAAGAATTTCTGAGCACAAAAGATTGAAAACGGCTCATAAATCTTAGTGAGTAAATTAGATACATGAAATTATTTTAAATTCAACCTCTTAATTGATTCACCAGTGTGCTACTGTTATGAATTCAATTAATATGCAAGTGACAACCAGTGGGTAAGTGTTTATAACTAATAACTTTAATTGTATTTTAACGGCTGAGTTTATGCCAGAATGTCAAAAAGAAAATAAAAGCATGAAAGAAATGTTTTAAAATTCTGAACTTTTGATGAGTTTCATCAGAAAGGGAGTAGAAGATAGGAGCAAGCAAAAAGTTAAAAGGAAAGACAAAGCTTTTCGTGATGCTTCTGTTGAAGTCATGCCAGATCGTGAGGCAATATTCGTAGTACCATTAGTTCCATTTTCGAGTATCTTCACACTTACATTTATTGATTGTAATGAATAGTAGCGTCAACCCAGACGTTTATGTATGAGTGCATAGACAAGGTAAAAAAATTTGGCTTCGATTTCTGAGCGTTGCCAACAATAACAGCTGCTGCATTTGTTGCTAGTGAAACTGATGAAATTTGGAACTTTTGCTTTTCTCTCAAAAGTTTTCATACCTGAATGACTCTATGTCATTGTAGAATTCTATGATAATTCAGATTTTTTACTCCCTTATTTTTGTAATAATTAATTTCGCTTGACATAAGCTCTATATTTCCATTAGAATATGGTATTTGAAGCTAATCAGAATAATTCTTTCATACGATGCCGAACCCGTTTGCAATCAAGTCAGTTAGTGATTGAAAAATCACAATCAAATATGACTAATGCGTCAAATATGCGGCATTCGAAGCGCCGTTATAGATCATCTTCAGATTCACTCAACGATAATAAAAGTTCATGTCGCCGGTTTCAAAAATTATATGCGAACATTATTTGTAGACATTGTGCAGTTATAAGTTCTGTTAGTACAAATATTTTAGGAACTAAAAGCAACAGCTTTAAATTATTTGTTTTGTAGTTGCAGACTGTAAAATGTGTTACTTTGAATTTCTTTCACGGTAGCGGATCATAACCTCACTTTTGGTATTCAAAAATGGAACAAATACTTGGTGCAAATACATTATTTTCGACTGTTGTTGTATAGGAGTCATGTTCTTTTTAGTGCACTATCAGTTGTTTTTTTTTTTAATCTATTTTTTTCAGCAATAATATTATTTCACTAACAGGAATTTAAACTGCCATAATTTCAAAATTAGCTTAAATTTAAATAAATGATGCAATGAGCACAGTGATGAGTGTGAATTTCAAACTTTATTAGATGACAAATTATTCCTTAACGCGATTAGATTAGGTGCAACAGCAAAATTTTCTGGTTAATTCTGGGTAATTCATATTAGGCATATACGAGCACTTTTGATTCGTTTGTTTTCTGCACCTGAGCCCCTCGTCAACGTTAGGCGTGGAGCAAATACAGCTTTTTTTTTGTTATAAAGGTGGTTAAGAAGGGGAAAGATATTATTACGGAATATTGGCTATCTGCCAGGCTCTCTCCTATTAGTATGCCCCTTGCGAGCAATTTAAATATTCCTCTCTGCTGGACAGCGTACCTGTTGTCCACTTGCAGTCGAAGCCGGGGGTCAGTTTAGAAATTAATAGTCGACTCAATTTCACATCCAGCACTCTTTTTCACTAACAACTAATTGACTTGCTCCTTCCTCACACGCAACGACTTTGATTTTTTTTCTACTTCTTTTGACGTTTGTCTGGGAAAGCTAGCTGTTTTTAGATATCATTTCCCATGCATATTTTTACAGTATTTGTATTTATTACATAATTTTTAAAGCAAAAAATTGCAATGACAGTTTAAGGTTCAAATGCCAGTTACTACAGAATCTCGCTAAATTTTCGCTCACATTATATGCTTATCAAAGTCTAAATGACTAAGTCATTGTAGAATAAGAATAGACGGTTAGATCATAATATGCGAACTGATTTGAAGAACCATCTTACCTTCTGTTGCTTCTGCTTTTTGACTTGATCGAGAAGAAAATTCAAGCCGACTGATATTAGAAAGAATTCTTACATGCATATTATTTAATCAGAATTTTGAACACAACATTTATACTCACGGCTTTGAACCGCAAGTGTTTTATCTGTAAACTAGAAATTAGTTAATGAAGTTTGCACAAGTACATTATAAACAGTCTAGTCCCGTAAAACACTTGCTTCATAACCGATGGATTCAAGTTCATAAGCAAATTAATGAAGTTAAAATTTTGTGGTATTTCAGGGTTGTCCTTTTATGTAGCTCTGCAGTGGCTTTTTCAAGTTTTTGTAATATGCAAAACGTCGTCTTTGCACACAGATTGTTTGCCAAGCAGAAATCAAATATAACAGATCAGAATTATGTTTGTTGAAATTACTGAAAAATTGACTCTCTCTTTCTCTCCCTCTCTGAATGATTTAAGGCTGCAAATGAGGTTAAAGGGACAAAATCTTTTTTTTGGATCAATACAAAAAGTTGACTAGTATTACTGAAGGGAAGTAAGAGAGAGAAAAGGGTAAGCTTGTTACGTCTTATATTCGTTTTGTTAAATATTGAATACAGCGATTGTGTTGCGAAAAGTCGTTTAAAGTTGTTAATCTTGCCAAGGACTTAGTCTTTGGTGAATGCGTTTTATTCGCATTCCAGTCAGCCCATCACGATCCAATAATTGCTGATTATTATTTTCTAATTACATCTCTGCTGACATTCAACTGTTGTTCAAACTTCATCCTAATTCATTCATTGTTGCAGTCAGTTTTCGTATGGAATTTTGAAGCAGCTGGAAGTCAACTTTCTTTTCTTATAGTAGCTAAAATTTTGTTTCTTATAAAATAAGTTAAGATGAGAGCCGAATTATGCTGTGTTTTATGTTTCATCTATAGGAGTTTATTTCTTTGCGTCGTTCAGGAAACATTAGATGCAAGCATCCATAATTATATAAAAAATCTTCCTGAGGTCACTACAGGAAATGAAAGATTATTATGATTTGGAAAATATTATGTGGTTAGCAGTAAAGTGATAATACTGATTCACACCTTATCATGATGGAGTAAGAAATTTCAAAAAATATCATTTTACTCAGAAATTTCATGCCAAATAATGAAAATGTTTGATATACGAATTTGTAGGACACACATGGGAAGTTGTGAGAAATTTAGTAGATGTAGAGATTTCTGCTAATTTATTTCGTATTGAAGCATATAATTAATATTCCCGAACGATTTTTTTTGAGATAAGCCAGTGATTCATGCGTTTTGTTGAAGAATTTGCCTTATAGCACCTGTGAATGTGTGTTTATCAGAAAAGAAGTAAACTGTAATAGAATAGTTTTTTCTCGTCTCAGGAAAATGTTCAACTTTCGATTACCAATTAGATACATCGTTCTTCAAGTTGTAGACGTGAACAAAATTTTTGAATTCGAGCATTATGTCTTATTATTAGCAGTCTGCTTATATTTGCTGTTTGCTTGCTCATGTTAACTGAATAACCCTTGACATTTTTGCCGTTTTTTATATTCCATGAAATGTGTAGTGCTTATATCCCAGTGTTTCTACATTTTTTAATGGAAAATGAGCAACAGTGATGATCTCTTTGTCTCTTGTTTATTTGCTTAAGCCTGCTTTGTATTCCCAATTTTATCGTTTCAAAGTCTGTAAGCAAAGAAAGCATATCATCTCTGCTGCTTGCTAATCTAAAAATTAAAATTAATCTCGAAATTCCCACCCTATAGTTTCTGAACATTCAATGAAAGTATTTTGGAAATTGATCTTATTATTGATTGAAATGATAGCAGAGTGAAACTGATAAACGTATGCTTCCTAATAATAATTTACTTGTCATGTAGATTGGTTTGTTCGTATATTTTCAATGAAAGGTTAGCTCAACTGAGCTGAACTGTAAGATAGATATGTGAGAAATTGATGTTATTTTCTCTTAAACCTCTCGTGTTATCTTTTTTCGGTTTTCTGTCATTTTCTACGTCCGCATGTCTCACATATTTTTTCCAGTTTGCTAAAATATCTATTATTTTAACATTTCTCATTCAGATTCTCGTCGTCATGGCGATAGATGAAGAAAAGGGGAACATGGTGTCAGCAGATTCCGCGGAAAAGGAGCGGTTATTAAAGCATGTAGAAGCCGTAAAAGCACTAGGAAATGCACCGAATGATTCTTTCAAGGTCAGTGATATGACATTTTATCAAGCCTTTGGTCAAGGTTAATAAGTTATTTTTTTAATGCAGAAGTGGATTTAGCTTTTATATGACTGAAATAACTGCAGTCTTCTGTGCTAAATACTTATTGGCAGGCATATTGTGATAAATTTTGAGTATGAATTTATCGACTAGTTTAAGTCATATATGTAATTAAACTGTTTTTAGCCTGATAAAGCAAACACCACTTGATTGTTTTTGATTTGCTATTTTATTTTTTATTTTTATATACTATAATGTATCGAGTTCTTCTTGCACCTAATATATTTTCGTATAACTCTTTATGAATAATGACTCAAACATTTGCCTAATATACTCTTAATAAATTCATCTAGCTGGGAAGTAATTATTGAAAAATTTCCCTCGCTCTCCATTTTTAATTCTCTGACAACTGTTTACTTTCTAAGCAGTCACGTTGCAAACGTAAGCAAATATTTACCATGATCAAATACAATAAATGCAATAAATACTTCTTATGTTGTAACTTTTGCTGTCTGCTTTTGTAGAAGGAAAACCCTTTACCGGCTTGTAAATACATATATATTTATGTGGTTGTACATAACTGCAATCTCATATTGATAGTCATATTATTTTCAGTGTAATAAGATTGTCGAAATTTGAAAAATTTATTCGTTGTAGGCATGTTTGCTAAAAAATAGTGAGAAAATTTAATCTTTGGTACCGTTTTCGGAAGAGGCAGCAGAAGTGTTGAATATAAACTGATTTTACCCACTTTGTTGACATAAGTGAGGGAAATTTTTTATCCTCAGTCATAACTTTCTGATTTATAAATTTGCCAAATTAGGTCATGCATATTTTTCTCATTTTTTCGGTATTACATTGTAACCTTGAGGTAATTGCGTGAGAATATGGCTTTGTTCGTGAACGTGTTATTCAGAAAGCAGCATAAAGCACTGGTTACCACTTTATATTAATAACTTTCATTATTGACAAAATTCATCTAAAAAATAAGATATTCCAACATATTTACATTAATCTGCCAGTAATTGTAAATTTTAATTAAATTTGTTACACAGTAGTATAAGTATTCCGGAGAAGAATGCTTGATTTTTGGATACTTGCTGTTATTAACAGTGACGTAAAAAACATTGTTTGACAGGAAAATAATGCTGTGTTATTGACAACATATTTTAGATCGTTCAACAACACTCTTTTTTTGGAGTTAAATTTGTTTTTGGGATTACGCATCAGTTCTGGTCATGATTAGTGTTGTTAGTCTCACGACATCACAGCTTTTGTCTGATTTGTTTTTCATACATACTTTTTTATTTTCCAGCAGTCTAGATCTCTTTAACCTGATATCTTTTTTGTAATGACGACTTTCTTAATATTCATATAACCGCACGGAAAAGTTGATATATGCTTAAATGTGGTTGTTGTGCTCTTTATTTGTTTTTACTTGTTGCGGTCGTAAAATTGATGCATTATTAGTTTTAATATCCTAATTCTGTATACCTAATGCGTAACGAATCTATCGTATACACAAAATAAGTTTGTATAAAATAGGTGACAGAAATTTATATTTTGCATACAGTGGGATATTTAATCACTTGTAGGAATGGATTGATTATAATTCTGTATTAATGTCAAAAATTTGCATAACGTTATGTATATATTTATGTAATGAGATAACATGTCTCAATATTTGCAACTGTTATTCACTCGATTGGTGAATTCTGGATTGCCTGGGTTATTTTCTGGAGCATTTCTCTGCTATAATCGTTTAAATCGTGAAGTCAGTTTGATAAGTAATCTTACTTTCTCGTGACTGCGGCAGGAGAAAAAGTATGGTGGCCGGGGAAGGTCTCGATGTAGGTATTTTCTACGGTTTTTACGTTTTCAAGTGGTTTTATGTTAAATTTCCTTCGTATCAGCCAACTTTCTATCGGAATAACTGGTCTGATGTGCTAAGGTTCAGAATCTTGAAAAATGACTAGGTAACAACATCTGTAATTCTTTGCCAAAATGTTAGTCATCAAGTTGTACATGATTTTATTCCAGTCAGTTTGAGTATATTTTTTGTATACACATACACACACACACAAAGAATTCTTTTATGAGGCAAAACGAACGTAAATTCTTATGGAACTATTACCACTTGGATAAATACTCTTTGCTAAATGGTTTCACTTTGAGTGCTGGTAGTATAATAAATTAGTTACTTAATCAGATAAACCTTGTTATTGTAGTCGGTAAATAATTATTTAGGGAAAATTTTTAATTTAATATTTTTAAAATTCTTCGTTCTTCGCACTACTTTTATTTTTGGTGCATTTATACAAAGAAGGAAGTTTTAAAAAAAAGATTGCATTCAAGTTGAGCTCAATAATTTAATTCATGAGCTTTTCATTTAGCTGTTTTTTAGCTTTCAAAAATAATCACAATGTGTTGAAATTGATTTAAGCATTAAAAGCCAAAAAATTTTTTATTTCTGCAAACTCTCAGTTAACAGAAAAATTGTGCTTAGTAAAGAGTTGTAAGTTTAGTTGCTGTATTTTGATGTCTGCAAGTTAAGAATATGACATTTTATCAACCAAACTGATAGTTTTCTTCAGTAATTCGTACACGGTATGATGTCTGTTTCTACTGCGTTTAATTTTCGCATATTTTCTCACGTGTTTCATAGAACTGGTATAGTTTTCACTTATAATAAAGGTATTTTTTCAGATGCTTCCACTCAGAGCTGCGAATAATTCAGTATACCTATGACATTTCTTGTTATCAGTAGACAGCTTTCTAAAAAGCATTACTTGATTGTTTTGTCACTCATCACCCAAAGTTAAACACTATAATTTTAAAATCGTGAAGTCAGATTGAGAAGTAATCCTTTATCAATTTCAATCTTTTTATACCAAAAGTTATTGCTTTCTCTCTTCGAATTTTTGTAAATAAAGCAAAACTCTTGCCCTTTCTCTCAACATTTCGTCTGCTAATTTTTCGAACTTCTCTCCACCATCCATTGTTAATTTATTCCATTTGTTTCATGTGCTTAAATTTCTTGTTAGATTACATAGGCATGAAATATACTTTGTACGTTAACATGCTAAAATGTAAATTTTGGATAAGACATGAATGTAGAGTGAGATGGATGAGAAAGTAGTGGTCCTTCGTTCGTTTAATATATTAGTTTGATCGATATAGGTGATGATTATGGTGACCTTTTATCGTGATGACCTTCCTTTATGCATTATCATGCCATGCCTTGGAAGATGAAGTGACCGCAGAGATGACCCTTACTTGCTCCGATAGCCAATGTCTTCTTATGAAGGTTATCGCCTCTTGTTAATCGGTCCATTCGTACATTGTTTGATAAATTTTTGTTCCATTTCGTACTGTCATCGATAAGTAAACTTGTAATCACTTTTCTGTACATTTTTTTTGTTTTCTCCGAAATTAAATTTGCTTTTTAGAATAAAACTATTAAAAAAATATGACATTTAAGCTTCTGAATTCCAAAAATTTATGTAAACAAAGTTCGTTTTTAATTGCGTTAATTTCTTCATAATTGATAGAAAAAGTCAAAATTGCTGTTAGCTCACAAAATTTTCCGTTTTTTTAAGCACTGAAATTTTAGAAACTTTCCAACGTTCTAGTAATTAGCTATAGGTGTTAATGAGTGTTCATGTTAATGATTTTTTTCTTTGTTTGCTAAGTATGAATAGTTTCAATAGCTAAATAAATTTATGTTTTTGTCACATTTTGCTACTTTTGGCATTTCGGAATTCACATCCGAAAATTGGGAAAAAGACGAGCTGCATTACCATGATTTCGTTTTTGTAGCTTAGCTTATTTTTGATAACATTTTTATCTCAAAATCGGCTGTAGCTTTGTAATAGAAAGAATATAATAGTAATAGTTGTTTTAAAATCTGTTTGATAAAGCGTATTTTCAATAAGCTTTCGGATTTTGGCTGACTCGAAAACAGGTCTGACAAATATTTATCAAAGGCTTTGATAATATTGAGAGAACATTATTGTTTTGGTAACCTTTTCTATGTTCTCGAAGATTATTAATTTGCATAATATCTATATACAACTTCATTCCAGCAATGTCAGTCTGATGACATTGATTTTATTTGTATTTACAAGATTATTTGCTAATTTATGAGATAAATTGCAAGATGCATAGATGCAGCTGGAAATTCTATGAAGTTGGTAATTTACCCACCAGTATTCATGAATATTTATAAAATCAGTGTAATAATATTTTATTATTTCATGATATCATCCTTGTCTATCTCTTTTTCGAGTTATAATTTCTACCTGATGTGAAATATTATCAGATAGTAGATTTTCATAACCTCTATTGAGGTTCGATTTAATTTTCCTACTGAACCACCAATAAATATTTTTAGATTGATGTTTGATGGTATCATCATAACATATTTATTTTGTCGCAAGTTTCACTTCCTGTTGAAAGATCAAAAATTGGAATTGAAAACAGTTTTTTTCGTTGTTAAATTTTGCAATTGGCAGTCATATTTATAATTTATTTGCAACTTAAATTGCAAAATGCCATGTGTAAATGTTGATAATTCTGAGTTTCATTTTATGTCTCTGCGCTTTTATCTTCTTAGATTGTAATAATAAACTTTTAACATTTCCGTTGGTTATGGTAATATTTTATTCATTTGCTGCACTGATTAGCTGATTAGCAGCTGTAATAATAAGTGATTCATTTTCTTGGGACGAATCGGAAGTAGGGCCGAAAGGTTGAAAATTTCGTTTTGCTTTGGTAGTGTTATTAGAAAATTTCGCCTTAACCTTTGAGGCTAAAAATAATTTTTTCTCCAAAAATGAGCACCTTCTTAATCACTTTTCGATTCTCTCAACATTATTTTTGCTTCAAGCGATGAAAGTTTCCATAATTGAGGTATCCCTTTGCCTTGCTTTTACATTAATATACTTTTGTTATCATGTAAATCTAAAAAGAGGATTTTAATCATAGTCATTTATAATATTATATGTTAAATTTCATTTATTTAGCTAGAAAGAAATCGAAAAGTGACTTTGTTAATATTTTGTGGTAGTATTAACTGAACTTGTGGTCTTTGTTACACAACGGTACTGGAGCAGAAATTTAATACATTTGATATCAGTTCAAAATGTCATGATCATATCAATTCTCAAATGCTGCTATTCAGCTTAATATTCATCTGTTTAACCGTTGTTTTTATTTATAGTTTTTGAACTACTGCTTAAAGAAATAGAAGTTTACTGATCCAAGCCACATTTCCACCTTAAATATTATAGTTTTTATTTTATTTCTGAGTGAAGTTGACACAGTCATTTCCGGCATATATTCGGAGATTTTAGAGTGTTTAATTTGCAGTCAGTTAGTGCAATGTTATGAGATATGATGATGTGAGGGAATACTTAAAGCAGTGCTTAGCAAAGAAGTAAGGATTACTTATGTCAAGTACTGAATAGTCATGAATGAATTACCTGTCTTTTGTTTTTATCAGCAGTTTAATTAGCTGTCTGCGATTTTATATTCGGTAGAAGTATTGGAAAAAATTATAGTTGGTGTTGAGACTAAGACTGAGTTTTATCATTTTTTTCACAAAACGGTCTTGAAAGACATCTCACATACTATGTGTCAACTTTGAATTATGAAGCGATAATAATTTTAAAAATACTTTCATACAGATTTCGCCGCGAAAGTTTTAACTAACTTACCAAATTTTCTTTACTGTGAAAAATACTTTGCGATCATAATTTTTTGCTTCTAAGAAACAATAGAGAAAATAAACTTCTAAAATCAAAAGCATTAATAGTAACAGCTAACTGTTATAACTACTATCACTACTATTGTCTATAATACAGCTGCTGTCACAATACGCGTAATCACAACAATAATATCAAAACGAGCAACCTGTTTTACAAATTATTTCAAGTACTCGTTCCGTTATTTGAATTTTAGTGCAATAAACAACCACAAGAACATATAGCTATCATTCCTAGCGGGAAAGCTAGTACTGCATTTCTTTTATTTTCCTTTTTCTCTATTCTTCGATAAATTATTTGCACACTTTGGCTTGCAAGTGTATACTGAATAAGATGCTGGAAAAGGGTCAAAGACGAGAAGTATGTTGTTAAACCCGACATTACGTTTTGATTCTTTATGGACCAAATATTAGCATTTTACTATGTCAATGTTTAGTAAGAAGTAATTATGCGCAAATTCATTTTTAATACACATTTCATTTACTCTAATTATTGTGTAAAGTAAAGAATGCATATTGTCTGCGTACATTCATTATATAGCCAAGGAAGGAATTTGTTCAACAATGAAAAGTTTAAGGTTTATTTGTTATTATTTGAAAATTTGCTGAGGCTAGTGTTAACAGTGAAATCGAAATTAAAGTATATCAAGTTTGAAGTCAGCTGCCATCTTACACAGATATTTTTATTTCTGTTTTTAGGGTGCATGGACACAGTCATTGTTGCTGGCTGTTGCTTCAGCAGCAATCGGTGGTTCATTTCAGTTTGGCTATCATATTGGATGTGTCAATGTACCTGCTAAGGTTGTGTCTTTTCAGACTTTTCATTTAATTGCCCGCTATTCAATATGTGTTTTCACCTAGTGGCACTAGGCTGGTTTTCATGCAATTATTTTGTGAATAATTTGATTTTGTTTGTACTGCGTCACCTTTTTCTGTTATGGTTTGAGAGGTAATTTAATTTCTAGCATTTTTTAACTTGACTTTTGTATCACATTCAATTTCTTATATAAAGAATGAACTTTAGGTTATCAAACTATGGATGATTGATTCGCATAACAAACTTTTTGATGAATTATTGACTATTGAGGAGATCAGCAGAGTTCAATGGTAAAATCATTCTTTTTAAATTATCCTTTATTACTCTTGTTTTAATTTTGTTTGTTTCTTTTACACAGTTTTCTATATTGTGTTTGTTTTGAAAAATGTTTGAGATAAAATAGAATGGAATAAAATAGTTCATTTCTATCACAAATTCGTGAACTGCAGCTTTTTTAAAATTTAGTCACTGTTTTATTATTGATTATACTTTCGATTCATTAGATATTAAAATGGCATTTTCGGGATCTTAGGGTAAATTTTTCAGGGCTATCACGGTTGGAATTTTCGCTGTCGGTGGAATGATTGGTGGCTTAGCTTCTGGTAAGATGGCAGATTGGCTTGGTCGTAAAGGTGCTATGATGGCCAACAATATCGTTGCTGTTGTAGCAGCTGTATTGATGACCGTGTCCTATTACGTAAATGTATATCCATTGATGATCGTTGGACGCTTAATTATAGGCATCAATTCTGGTAAGTAGTGAAGTTTCTCTATTTTTTTTCCATTTGCATGTCATTAAAAGTGTTTGTACGTTGCTTTCCTGTCTCCCGAGCACTTGTTAAACACCATAATTCAAAACGGAATTAGAAATAAGTTTTGGTGTATTATCTAAAAGACCGAAAAATATGTTGTATAATGATAATGTATTAACAAATGATTTTTTGCTAAGTACGTGTTGTTATTTTATTAAGTTCTCGGTTACATCTGTTATTTGATTATTAGGACTTGCAGTTATTATTAATGCCTTCGATAAGACCTTTATCTAAGCAATAAATGTAATGGAATTCAGGCTTAAGCTCAGGCCTAGTACCTATGTACCTTACCGAAATATCACCCGTGAATTTACGTGGTTCACTGGGTAGTGTGGCACAACTGTTGGTTACCATCGGTATTTTATTCTCACAAATTATCGGTTTACCGCAACTTCTAGGTTCAGCAAAATTGTGGCCATTGGTCTTTGGTGAGTTTTTATGTTATTCTTTAAATTATTTCTTTCTTATACTTTATCTTGTTTTCCTAAACAAAACTTGAAAAAAATTTTAAATTTTTTGCAGGCTTTACGGTAGTTCCAGTGATTTTCCAAGTAGCTACTTTGCCAATGATACCAGAATCACCCAAATATAATTTAATTGTGATGAATCGTGCTGAGCAAGCTGAAGAAGACCTGAAAAAACTGCGCGCAAAAGACGATGTAAAAAATTTCTTTTCTTGCAAAAAAGAGATCTTTCCGACTTTGAAAGAAAAACAAAAGATCTTATCTGAATCTGTATCAAATAAAATTAAAATAAACTGAATTTAAACGAACTTTTTGAGATTTGTTCTAAGTTAAATAAAAAGTTTAAAACAAATTGTAAACAGTGATTAAAGTTAGATTTTCCAGGTGAAAGCAGAAATTGATGCGATGAAAGAGGAGCAAGCAAAGATAAACGCTGTAGCAGAAATTAGCATCTTTGACTTGTTCCGTGGTAACCTTCTCTGGCCTATGTTTATCGCAATTATGATGATGTGTGCACAGCAGTTTTCGGGTATAAACGTTGCTATGTTTTTCTCCACAATGATTTTTGAAGGCGCTGGACTGGGAGAAAATGCTGTTTATGCCACCTTGGTGATGGGCTTAATTAATGTTATCATGACGGTTGTTTCCGTGTATATGGTGCGTTCAGTTATAATTTCAGCTGCATGATCCCTTTTTCCAGGATTATTTGGAAAGGAAATTAAATTTGTCTTGCATTTGTTATTCTAAGAGAAATTCCAAAAATTCTAAGAAATGTTGGGAGCGATTCATGATTGTCGTCTATTCCTGAGTTTTGATCTAGTAATTGGACGTCAGAAAATAAAAGAAAATTATTATACCATTAGTATAAATTAAATCTGGTTATTAATTTTTTAGTACTTTTCTTTTGAGTGTAATATGATTTTGAAAAAAAAATTCTTCTAATTTAAATGTTCTTAAAATTCCTGCACATGTCTTCATTTTATCAGTGCTGTGTTCACATTCAGGTTGATCACCCCAAGAGTGGACGTGTAATGTTGTTGATGATTGGCTTGATTGGAATGTTTTTTGCTTCCATTTCCATTGTCATTTTTATCTCAATCTACGTAAGTATACATATATATACTTGTAACTTGTGAACGTGTGACACCAATTGTGGGTGTCACACGTTCACAAGCTGGTGTCACACGTTATATGTAGAGTTAAATATAGAAAGTATTGCGATAAGTTTTGATAAACTGTATATTTTTTTAGACAGCAGATCAGTCAAGCAACAGATGGGCATCTTATCCGGCTTGTATATTCGTGTTTCTCTTTGTCATATTCTTTGCTACTGGCCCAGGTAAGTACTGAAATTTCGCTTGCTTCGTGCTCAGTTTTATGACCGATCAGGTGCCGAATATCTGCGAATATCTATGATTAAAATTGAGGAATGAAAATTTCGAACGGAATCAACTCTTGATTTTTTCGTGTAAAATGTCCGTAAGTATTAGCTGTAAGTAGTCATTACTTTTAAAGTATGCGTAAGTATCAGCTGTAGGTGGTTGCTACTTTTGTGTATCGTTACTAATGGAATTTATTGTAAGAATTCTCGTTTGTTTCAGGTTCCATTCCATGGTTTTTCGTCTCGGAATTGTTCTCATCAGGAGCACGTGGTGCAGCGAATTCGGTTGCTGCAGCAACAAACTGGACAGCAAATTTCATTGTCGGGACATCGTTCGAATTTCTCAATGTAAGTTGTAGAATTTTTTTCAACTAATGCATTCAAGAATGAGTAAAATTAGATGATCTTAATGATGTAAAAGAAAATTTAGCGTGGGAAAAATCATGGGACTGATAGATCATAATGCAAGGTTGCATGGCAGGCTGATGTTTGAAAATTTTGATTTCGAATACCTTCTGGAAAGGCGTGCATCAGGCAAACTTTTGAGTTATTGGGAGTTTCTATGTTTTAGATGGAAACGGTATTCAGGCAAATGCTTGTTTCATTTGCTTAAGCTTACAGTCAGTTTCGTTTCAGCAAATTTTACACCAGTATGCTTTCCTGATCTTCTCTGTTTTCCTGGCATTCTTTGCATTTTTCACTTGGATGTACGTACCAGAAACCAAAGGTCGTACCGTTGAAGATATACAGGAAGAATTGGCGCGTGGCAAGTCGCGATTTGCTCGAAATGTGAAATGAAAGCAAATGATTTCTGTGAGCATCTATCAAGGGATCAAAATTCATAATGCTTTTAAAATTTCTAGAATTATGATACAGTTCGTTTCACTTTTTCATTATTAAAAATCTCCTAAATAATTCATAAACTTCAGTTTCTTTCCACATGGTTATTTGTATTGAATTTCCAGTTAATCTTCTCATATTCAATTCCAAGTAATATAAAGGCGCTAATTGTTTTGTCTAAATGAATGCTCCATTTTTTTCATTCAGTCTATGACAGAAGGTTAGTGCACCGTTTATCACTCTTATTATTATTATTATTATTTTTTTTTTGAGAATGCAATAAAGATGTTTAGTTAGTCAATGTGCTTTGTAAATTTTTCAGAGTTAAGCCTAAAAATTCGAGAAGTTAAAAAAGGTACAGAGGAAAAAATTTATAGAAATCGTTTTCTATACTTGAAATCCCCTCAGCGTTTTTTTAAATGTTTTCTTTCTAAAAAAACTCACCATACGGCGCTCCAAGAATTATTTTTCTCATATGCAGTTGTAAATTCTTGTTTTGCTGTTTATTATTATATCAATAATTACCTCATTTCACAGGATAAACTTGGTTGAAGAAAAAAATTGTCATGTGGTACGTATAGAGGATATAGCATAAGTGTTTTCTTATTTTATGAAAATCCGTAAAAAACTGGAACGAATAAGTAACTGAAGAGAGAAGCGGAAATTAATTGCTACAAAATGAAAAAATACTTGGGAGTGTAAATGTAATTCGATATTGTGATATTATAACAAAGAAAGATCATAAGTTGTGATTTTTTTGATTTTGATTCCTCAGTGAAATTTAATGTATTTGTCAATGTTTGGAGACATATGTATGGTTGGGTGGTTCTTACCTTCGTATTGAAGACATACTGTTGTCGTTAACAGTAAAGCAAAAATTGTTTTTGTTTAAATATTTACTATCAAATATCTCTCAGAAGAGTAATGATATCCGTTGCTGTCATATTAAAGTACCTCCATGCCATCATGTGCGAAAATTTTCTTGGTAATGTAAGAAATTTCTTTCCTGGAAAGCTAACAAATTGTTATGCAAGTGCGAAAAATAAAAACAGCCAAGAGCACGTTACCATGATTCTATCATGACATCATAGCATTAGAATGATTATGATAGCATTCATTGAATGTAGGAGGTTCAATATTTCAAATCAACTCCGAACACACTTTGTTTATTGACTAGAAGAGGCAGAGAAGCAATCTTGGTGTTTTATTAATACAGTTTCCAGGGTTTTGTATGTTAAAATTATTTCTAGTGTTGAGTAAGTGGAAGCTTCAGTCCTAATTCTTACTTCCAAAAGTAGATGAAAAGAGTGCTTTTTGCAGAAGCTATTCCTGCAAAAAATTGATATAAGTAATAGTCCATCGTAAATTATGTAATGTATAATGGAATAAGATTTCTGGAACATACTGATCACTTAGCAACGCAAATCACCACACAAAAATTGCATTGAATGTAAACGTGGAATAATTTCATGACAAAATATGCAATGCAATCATAGTCCATTTGTGTGCTAGAATCAATAGCATAGCCTTTAATAAATAAACATGGATAATATACAACACATAAGATCACACCTGCAGAATTTTTAACTCTAGTAATTGTGTCAATAATGTAGGAGGAACTTTTGTTAATAGTAGTGTGACGATGGCGCAACGAAGAATGACAAGATTTTTATTGAACTTCAAACATTGCCTTGATAAATAGCAATTACTAGATGAAAGCTACAATTGCATTTACGTCAAAAAAATGTGTAGTATACAAATCGAGATGTAATGGAAGAGGGAGATTCTTGTAAAATGTTTTCCTGACCCTGGTTATGACAATACAAACATGATTGGATTTGTATGGAATTTAATTGCATTGCCAAAGAGTCTTGCTAGTACAGACATGTCCAGTATGTCTCGTGATCTGCTCTGCAAAAGGGATTTAGAAACTTTTTGATGATCAGACTTTTGTAGCAAATTTTATCATGTCTCTCTTCATTTTCTGTAGCATACTTTAAGTTGAATAGGAAGGATATTAGATGAGCCATCGTCAAGAAGGATAACCGAGTCTTCTGTTTGCAAGCTTGTAGACCTTCCATAAATAAAACAGTTCAAGTCTAGACATGTCCTGCTTTCTCCAGAGTGAATGCCGCACCGATTTCTGTCTCCTAGATAAAGCTTTCTTTAACGTGAATTAAGCATTAGCAAAATATCTCGTCACAATTTATTTAAACATGCAAAAGCACGTCAGAACCTAAAATTGGCGTTTTTTTCCTAGAAATATTTCGTGTATTCGATCGACATCATTTTGGCATAACATTAGAATATAAGATTTACGCTTCACTGTTACGAATGCCTGAGACGAATAAGAATAATTAGGTACTTCAAATTCTTGTCAGTCACGTTTCAATTCACATCAAACTTCAAACGGGTGAATGATTAAATGTGGTCGCAGTGATACAATTTTCACATCGTGCATAATTTGCATTCTGTTGAGTTTCAAGCAGACCTCTCACTTGTTTCTCATTTTATTACACGTTGTGTGAAATGTTCTACGTCCTGCTTTTTTCAGTTTGCAGTTTTCGTTGCATGTAAAAGTTGGCTGGAAGAAAATATTCTCCGCTCTCTTTTTAGCAAAAAATAAATAGAATGACGATTGCTCGGTAAGTTTTTTTATACATATTTTAGTGTCTGTTTCAATTACAGTGTTTAGTATTTATAGTTAGCAATGAGGTGTAAATTTGTTCATTGTTTATTGTCATACAGACTATTCTTGATTAATAACATTTCAATTGGTACCACGATTCCATTAGCGTTCAAGATACTTCAGGAATTTTGCGGGAAGAACAGTGCTCATCACCGGGGCATCACGTGGTATTGGCAAAGAAATAGCTCTGAAATTAGCTAGAGATGGTGCAAATATTGTTGTAGCTGCGAAAACTACTGAGGTTAATCCTAAACTACCAGGAACTATTTATTCAGCCGTCGAAGATATTGAAAAGGTTGTATATTTTATTGGTATTTGTTCCATTAGTATGAAACGGTATTTGTTCCATTAGTATGAAACGAGCTCAAATCCAACAAGCGCATTTCTGATGCGCTTATTGGATTTGAGCTCGTTAAAACTTCACAAACTCACTAAAAATGATTTAGAAAAAACAGTATTTACTTTCAGAAAAAATTATTTTCTGTCTGTGAAAACTGTACTATTAATAGGTAAGAAGACTGAAGAAATTCATATTTTTTATGTTAGTTACGTTCAGAAAACTTGCGTATCCATTTATTCAGTAATGTTACGTAATCTACATTTCTCATGAATTTTTGTGTAACCATTAATTGCAGGCAGGTGGTAAGGGATTGGCATGTGTAGTTGATGTTCGTGATGAGCAAACTATAACAAAAGCAGTCTATGGGACTGTCAAAAAGTTTGGTGGAATCGATGTTTTAATCAATAATGCAAGTGCAATATCGCTTGCAGGAACATTACGAACTACCGTTGAAAAATTTGACTTAATGCATCAAATCAATGCACGCGGAACATTCTTAATGTAAATCAAGTTCTGGACGTTTAATTAAGTTAACGATAAGAATCTGCGTGAGGAGAAATTCTTGGAGGAAATATTGCAATGCAGTCGAGGAAAAAATTTGTCCTTAATTAAATGACGTATTTTCAAACAGCAAAAGTCTTTATTTTCAGGTCTCAGAAATGTATTCCTTTTTTAAAAAAGGGCACAAATCCTCATATATTGAATATTAGTCCACCTTTAACCATGACAAAACAGTGGTTTGCTAATCATGTCGGTAAGTGAAAATTTTATTCTTATGGATCAATAAAACCAAAAAATAGGCATTAAGCATTGATCTAATTCTTCAGGAAAAACATGCAGCAGTACTTCGTTGGTGGTAGCTAATTATTTCAGTTTATAATCTCATAATTACTGAAATTAAATTCGTTCTAAATTCTTCCTTATATTGAACTCTTATTTTACATATTTAGCATATACAATGGCCAAGTATAGTATGTCAATGTGTGTGTTGGGTATGCATGAGGAACTGCGACCATTTAAAATTGCTGTAAATGCTCTTTGGCCCAAGACAGCCATCTGGACTACAGCCATGGAAATACTTTCAAATGGAACCGCTGAAAATGTTTGTACTGGAAAGTGTTTTAAATAAACTTCAAAATGAGTATTGTCCATGTCATTTGTTAATTATAAATGAAATGAACTTGTAATCTCGCCAAATAAGTTAATATTGTTGTTACGTAATTTTACCTTTTTGTTATGGAATTTTTGAGTAAGAGTAATTAATACATTTTAAGATATGTAGAGGCTTAGAATATTCTTACCAAACAAAAATTTAAACTCCTCTAATGAGAAAAGATCTCTAATCCACATATAACGAATATGGCATTACAATTGTCATAGTAACATTCAAAAATCTTTCCGTAGTTTCCAGTCATCATTTAATATTTATTATTTATTGCACACTTATAAAGTAAAGTAGTATTCAATTTACCTAGACATTTATGCGAGAAAATTTGCAGTAACAGTTTACATATTTACATATGTAATGAAACTATTTTTTAAAACAATCTAAGATGTTGTGTTACGGAGTCATGATTCTTCATATTTTTTTCTGTTGACTTTTCTCGAATATTTCAAAATCCTAGTAAGTTATCCATTTAATTTACTCGATTTTTCAATTCGCTTCCTTCGCGTGTTCAACTTACCAAATTTTATGCTGTGCAGTTTTACAGCAGTGTCGAAAGCCGACTATTATGGCAGATGCTGCATATGCGATACTTTCTCGGGATAGTACCACTTACACAGGAAATTTTGCAATCGATGAATACGTCTTAAGAGAAGAAGGAATACGAGATTTCGATCAGTATGCCATGAAACCAGGCAATTAAAATGTTTCTTAACTTTACAGTCATATTAACACAAGAAACCAAAAATCATGTTGTGTATTTCATGATATGATTGATTATAGCTATCCGAATAAACATGTATTCGATCTACCGAATACATGTTCGGATGTTTTTTTCAATTTTATTTCCAAAATGGACCACAGAATAGTATCTTCAGGAGTTCCACTTCTGCAAGATTTCTTTATTCCTGATGATGCGAAGGAAGCTACAAATCTCGAAACACCCGTTCCTAATTCTGTGCTAAATGTTATCATCGATAAAATTAAGCTGCTTATCACTTCAGATGTTGTCCAGAAGGTTCAGGCCATCTGCCGACTCGATATTGAAACAAACGGTCTAGAACTTTCAGTATTCTGTACTAAGTTCAGCAATTTCCTGCTCAAGACAGTTAAATAGTGTAGACATACATAACTACTCTCTCGTTCATTATCGTCAGCGGAAAAATCTAATTTAAACAGTTCAATTCTATCAATCATAAAATCATTTTATGACACCAGAATTAAAAGTGCTAGCAAATAAGTCCAAAAATACTAGCAATCTTAAGCACATCTCATTATCCGTGCTTCATGCTTGACCACTGTATCTTGAAGTGAAAACAGAGAAAGTTGATTTGCAGTTGACATATAATTTAGCAACTCTTTTATTACTGCTCTTGTTCAGATAGTGATACCATAAGTATACGCAGCTCACTAATTAGCAGTTTTAATTTCAGGTTCAGATATTCATCATGTGTACATAGATATGAAAAATAGAGCTGAAGTGTATGAGTCAGAGAGTGATAACGAAGATGTGGACGTACATCTTACAACCGATCTACACACGTTATCGAAATTATTCAACAGCAAAATTTCAGCAACGGCTGCATTTGCATCAGGAAAATTAAAAATTAACGGCAATATGGAGAAGGCTATTATACTTCTATCACAAATTGTCAAACCATAAACTGTTTTATATTTGACCTTTAAATAAATTCACGAAGGAACTATCTCCACATGAGGATGAGAAAGTGTTATAGAACGAGCATATTATTATAAGGCTGTTGCTAAAGTTTTAGATTAGCATCATGTGGGAAAAAACAAAAAGAAAGTTCTATTAAGTAGCTAACTAGGCGAAAAAATTGCGTATGAGCTCATAGACACAAATAACAAGTGATAGCGACTACTAATTGAAGTCGAAGGAAGAATTAAATTAGTAAATTAAATTCGCAACATTTATTCGATCAGAGAGAAGGCAAACTGATTCCAACAGAAATGCATTTTAATTAACTTTAATCTTGATTGTATTCACTTTCTAGATCACTGAACATGATTTTGACTTCTGTGGCTAGTTTGGTCCCACTTGAGGTCAAGGTGAATTAATTACATGGTGACATCAAGAGATCATTTACTTTATTGCATTTGATCTTTAGTTAGGGCCAGAGTCAGATAGACTCGCTGAAGACTGGTCCCCATTGTTTGCTGGTCTATAAGGCAGTTTACCTAAAATAACAGTCATATCCGTGTTTCTGTGTAATAAAAGCCATACTCAAAACCTTTTTAGCATTCATTACATTATCCATATGCTCCCGCGTGACTTTACACCACCATCACTTTCATTCGCATTTGAATTGCAGTTAGTTTTATAAAAGTGACCCTGTTTTCACAATGCAAGCACTGAGACACAATTCGTCACAAACTCATATCCTTACATCATATCTCAAACATTCTAACCTGGCACTTCTTCAATATCATCTTCCATGATTACATGATTTTTTGATGAGATGCTGGGACTAAGAGGCTTCACTCCTTCGCTCACTGTATTGCGCTTTTTGCTGTCCCATTCAGGCCACCCATCCAAAGCATCTTCCAGAAAATTAAATGGCTCGCAATTCCTTATAATAAATTCTAAAGAATGAGCGACTTATAAGTTTTTCTAAATTCAACTAAACTATGAAATTTGTCTAGAAATCAGGCAAAAAGCTATCACCAATGAAAACTTTTTGCACAATTTAATAAACCACGACAAAGTCATTACCAAGATCTTTACGTAGAAGGGTTTTTCGTTTGTCAAATAACGTTCGTTCGCAAGCCGTCTTCGTCAGCAAATTTACAAACCGCTCCTATAATTCATCATCGAGATCTTAAATTATCTGATGGACATAAATAAGAAATGAGTATAGAAATACTGATAGTTTAATTACTGAGAGGCTGAAGTATTATCAATAAATTCAAATATTGTAAAATGCTTACTGTAGCAAAGCCCAGAAGTTGCACACCCTCAGTTGAAACGCTACCACAATTTGGATCAGTTTTGATGATTTTTTTGATTTTTGAAAATGGTAATTGCGTTCTCACCTCATCCACCATTGATGCTGACGAATTTTTAATCTATCGAGGTTGAAACTGAGTACTATTAATCACTTCTGTCTTCTAATGCGCGAATTTACTGTTTTAATTGGCATTCTGAGTGGAATTCTTTTTACTACTGCAGCGAAATATTTTCCATTCGTTTTTCAATCTATACCTGTCTGTATTCGCCTTTCTTAATTATCATCGACTAACTGAGTGGAAAATAGTTATTGTTCTGATGGTAGATGAATACTACAAGAAGTTTTAAAAAGAGTTTCATGTTTATTTTCATTCTCCACAAATTATTTGTACTTTCAAAGTATGTGTTGTTTTGCTCATGAGCGTTATTGGTGGGCATAAAAATTGGTTGTTGCTGCATTATTGTAATAAAATCTCTCAATTTTAAGTTCTCAGCTCTTGGCTTTCATTCCTACCATAATACAGTGAAGAAGAAGAAAGCAGTTTACAGTCCTCTTGTATGCGGACTGTGTTGCGCATTAGTAATCTCTTATTTTATTGTTCTTAAATTTGTTCGTTTCTCAAGTATCTTTGTAGAGATGCGCAATCCTTGTTTCTGAACTATTTTGATTTTGAATGCGGAAAGCGTGGTAGTATCTAACTCCTGGAAAAGCTACAGATTTTACTCGCATTTTATTCATAAACTTCTTTCTTTCTTTCTTTTTATTTATCGACCTTATATTTGGTTTGACTATTACAGTACAGTACAATACAGTACGTACCACAGTGCGTACTGTGATATGATCTTTTCTGAATTATTGGAAATCATTTTCTCGTTTAATATTTGATTTAATAATTCTAGGCGTATTATACATACATGTTGAGTAATAAGAGTAAAAAGAGACTTTTATTTAAAAATTCACAATTAAAGAATATCTTGAAATTCAGTGGAAATTAGTGGTGTTATGAAAAAATTTCGAATTAATCCATCAATCAGCAACGTATTTAAGTATAAATATAAGAGATGAATTTATTTTTTGTTATATCTTCAAAAAGATGATGTTTTGGCAATTAGAATCTCTTCCTTCTTTCTAGTTTTTAATTCAAATACAGCATAAAAATAGAGTTTCGTGTGTTGTCTGTTGGCAGTTATGATTATTGCTTCTTGCTGGAGAACAGTAATATCAAGGTTGTATAATGTATCTCAAAGTTGAGTAATCAACTACTGAAGCAAATTTGAGATTATTTATGTTAGATTACTGTTTTTTTTAAATTTACAAATTTGAGATTATTGATACTTTTTTTAGAAAAATCGAAATGAGTAGACGAATCACGCTATTACTTGACCAAACGGTTACATATTTACTGGTTAGCATTCGTAACTATCAAACGTCTCTTTTACCTAGCGGTGCAAGAGCCTTCATCAATGGTACCATTCAATATATTTTTGTTAATTCTTGAAATAAATTTTTAGCCAACAAAATATCAGCGTTGAAAGGTGAGGAAAAAAGTGGTATTCAGCATGTAATATCGTGCTATTATTTTTAAGATTATCTTGTGGTCCTGCTTTTATATTTTGGAATTTTAAATTTCACTTTAAAGTATGTCAGTAGTTCTGTCTTTTTAAAATATCATAATCATAAAGCGAAAATATAGATTTAAAATTAAAAAGTCAAAGGTTGTTCATTATGAATGTATGAGAAGGTTAGGAAACGCAAATTTCTGTCATTTATGATATTCAGTAAGTGGAAAAAAAATATATCAGAAAAGTGCAGGAATATAATTCATTTATTTTTCTGATTATGTAGGTCGGTGGAATGATGCGTTATCAAATGACACGTTTGAAGTCAAAAATCCTTACGACAATGAGGTCTTGTGCAGATGTGCGAACTGCAGCATAAATGATGTAAAAAAAGTAGGTTGTTTATTAACTTTGTTAATTTTATAACCGAAATCAAGTTTTCACTGTATCTATATTTTTCAAGCCTTGTAAGACATATCTTAATAAAATATGAATTATATAAATAATGCTTCCCACTCACTTTATTCTAGTACTTCAAAATTTTAGTCAGTGAAAGCAGCTCGAGAAGCATACAGCACTTGGTCACTCTTGTCAACTGCTAAAGAACGTGGTGCAATATTGGAGAACTGGCATTCCAAATTATTGCAGCAACAGAACGAACTTGCTGAGCTGATCACCCTTGAAGAAGTATCTTTGTTTATTTCTTTTTCACTTTACAGTCAAATCTGGAATTGTTGTAAAAGAAATGCGCATCCAGTTGTAAAGATAAAAATAATTTCGTAAAATGAATATAACTCTTTTTACATTTGAAATTTTAAAATACTCGAAGGAAGCTGTGTTAAAGGGTAAACCATTACAAGAAGCACTCGGTGAAATAATCTATTCCGCTTCATTTTTGAAATGGTTCAGTGAAGAAGCTCGTAGAATATATGGGCAAATTGTGCCACCAATATCAGTACAGCGTTTACATTTGCATACACGGGAACCAATTGGTGTTGTAGGAATTATAACTCCAGTAAGTTTTTCTGTTTGAACTATAATCAACACATACATTTGCTGAAATTTTTTTAAGATTTGAAACTAATGAAAGAAATAAAAGAACAAATTACTACAGTGAAGGATATTCTCAATAAAATTTCTTTAAGTTTTTTTCTACTTTTTTTTCGGTGATTAAAAGTTTTTAAGCATCTTAACTTATAAATTACAGAAATATTTTTAGTGGAACTTTCCATCGGCAATGATTACTCGAAAGGTAGCTGCAGCATTAGCAGTTGGATGCACGGTTGTTGTGAAACCCGCTGAAGATACACCACTTTCTGCCCTTGCTTTGGCTCATGTAATTTTTCGTTCTGTTGCCGCTTTGCAATAATTTTTGGAAATTGATGTCTTAACAGCATCGAAATTCGATTCAAATTCTCAATGAAAACGATTAGAAAAATGTTTGCTTCTTACATGCTACTGTTTAGCTTTTTGATCAGAAAATCAGAAACCACTCTAATGTTGCAACAACTTTATTTTTCTGTTATTTAGACTGCCAAAGAAGCAGGTCTTCCGGATGGTGTCTTCAACGTAATTCCAGCGGATTTAAAAAATTCTGTTAATATAGGAAAACTGTTGTGTGAATCGACCGACATTGATGCAATTTCGTTTACGGGTAGTAAGAGGGTGGGCAAGGTAGGTTTGTATTTCATATTTTGTGTTAAATACGTCCTGCTTCATTCAAAATCATGCTTTAAAAGTTTTTAGTTCAATCGGGATTTTTTTAAAAAAGTCGTTTACAGAGTGGTCACAATAGTTAATCTCCTTTTAGATTTTACTTTCACAGTCAGCCAACACAGTGAAGCGAGTATGTCTTGAATTAGGCGGTAATGCACCCCTTATTGTATTTCCATCAGCTCATCTGCCAACTGCTGTTGAAGTCTGCTTCTTTTGGATTTCCTGCATGCCATGCCTTTTTTTTAAAAGTTTTAAGAGTTACAAGTTATAGAGATAAAAATTTTTTAAATAGTTTCAATCAATTTGACTGAAAATTAAGCATTTAAAGCTAATTTAATGGTCGATCAGTTTTTGTTACTTGTAAATTAGCTAGAAGAAAAGCTTACTGGTTGTATTTTTACTTTTCGAAATTATTGTCATGATGACGCTATGTCAAAAATCTAAAAATGTGAAATATATTTCAAGCTTTATTTTCATTTTATTACTTCGTAGGCGACAATGTTATCAAAGTTTCGTGGTAGCGGACAAACATGTATATCTCCGAATCGTATTTATGTACATTCCTGGATCCATGATTCTTTTCTTGACCATATTAAACGTGCTATGGAAAAACTGATTGTCGGGAATGGTTTGAATCCTGGAGTAACTCAAGGACCTCTTATCAATGAAAAAGCTGTTAAAAAGGTGAGTTTATTAAAGGACAGGTTATCAATATTATTACTGTAAAATTTGTCAACTTATGCAAAATTTCTCTTATATAAAGGAAATAATCCTAATGAGTTCTAAGAAGCCTCTGTGTTTCGTTGATAATTAGTAGGGGTAAATTCCTTGCTTAGTGAAAACTTTTTCAATGGAATTTTTTTCGGAGTGACATTAAAGAGATTTCTGGAAAACTTTCTACTTTAACTAATATTTGATTCTTAAAACCTTCTGTTTCAAACTGTAGAAGATAGAATATGCAGGTTGAAAAGTTGATAGAAAATGCAGTGGAAAAAGGAGCACGTGTGGTACTAGGTGGAAAGCGCGCGATGCCAAATACTTGTTTCCAGCCGACTTTGATGACAGATGTTACGAACGATATGGATATAGCACAAAATGAAATATTTGGTCCTGTTCTCGCTCTTCAAAAGTATGTTAGCTTTTTTTGCACTTATGTTATTGCAATCCAAACTTGAGATGAATTTAAATTCAAAGTATGATTACAAATTGAATATTTTTTAAATAAAACTGAATTTCAGATTCGAAACAGAAGAAGAAGTTTTATATCTGGCGAACGAGAATAGAAATGGCCTTGCCGGTATAGCTATTTTGGTTGTGAAGTGGTTTACTTTTTGAAAATTACAATTTATTGATAGCGATTAATTTTTTATCAACAGCGAAACTAAGATATTGTTGGTAAATGAAACATTTTAATCCTTTGTTTTAAAAAAATGATAAGTTTCTACCATTTAAGCTTCATTTTTTCTCAGCAGTTTTTTGATATCCATTTTATCAGTTGCTACAAGCTTTGTCAGAGCTTCATCTAGTTGATACAGAAAGATTCAATATTTGAGGATATATATTCACAACGGATTATGCTCAGATTGTACGCGTTAGTCGCAATCTTCAAGTTGGAATTATTGGTGTCAATGAAGGTATTTGCTCTAATTCTACAGTTTATGTCATCATTGTTATATTCACTTATGACAGTAATCTTCATGCTAATAAGTTGCATACTTTTGGAAAATATATAGCACATGATTATCATTTAAATATTTCAGGACAAGTGTCATGTGCAGAAGCAGCATTTGGTGGAGTCAAGGAAAGCGGTTTAGGTCGTGAAGGTGGTTCGGTGGGTATTGATGAATTCTCTCAATGGAAGTATGTGTGTGTTGGATTATTGCAGCGACAAGTTACTCGTTTGTAATCCTATAAATAACTGTGAAATCGTTTGTTCCAGTTTATGTTTAAGCGCTAATGCAAACCAACGGAGGACGTATCACGTTATTTTATTTATTATTTTAGATTTTTATTGTGACTTGTATGACAGTATTCAGAAATTTACTCTCAAGTATATGATATTTGCTGTTAAATTATGCATGCTTTTAATTCTGCTCAAGATAGCTAAAATGGACTGAAAACGGATCATAGTGGAACTGAAATTTTCATTTGGGTTTTTATGTATATTTGTTCAAATTCTCAATGCCTCACGAGAAAATACCAGTTATGTGGGATCTGATAAAGTTATGCGTAACGCCTAAGTTTGCCTGAGTTCATTTTTGATGTCCTCACACTTTATAAATGAGTAATTAGTGTTGCTTAACAGTTCACTCATATGACGCAGAAACGAAGATAATAATGGGATTGGTATTCATTGGATTTATAGTTACGTATTCATTTACGGTTGGATAGATCTTATTAAAGGAATTTGGTGCATAATGAAGTCATCCCTCTCAATCAAAACATCTATATGATTGAGCTCATTATGTCTTCCAAAACAATGCCTTTTCTGCTTTGAACGACAGATTCAATCAGTTCACCTGTTATTTGATGGCCTCATTATGTCTTCCATGACACATCATTTTCTCACACAGTTACTCGGTGGCCCGTCAAATTAAAGGAAATTTATTGTCGTCACTTCGTGCATAATTTGTATTCCCCTCAGTTTTGCATAGAATGTGCAGCTCATTGTGTCAAAGCAGAAAAGGCATTGTTTTGTGAAATGAGACAGATGAGTATTAAAGGATTTGCTAAATTTATTCAATTTCGGTTCACTTTATACAAATTGCAATTTTCTTTTTTGAAGAGTCTAACGCGATGTTTTATTTGATCTTTGGGAAAATACAATTCATATTTATTTTAATCCGCAAATGGTTTTTGAGTAGTTTTTTGTTAAAAGAATTTTTTGCGGAACAGTTACAAGACGTGGATCGCTTCTAGTTCAAAGAAATCGATGGACCAACCCCTCGAGTTAGGCATCTGTAACAGAGATGTGAAATGAAAGACTTATGATTTCTGGACGCAAAATTGTCATATGAATTTGCGGTACCTTTCTACTGGACTAGAATGAAGTTAAGAAATTGCATGGTAATACCAACGGGACAAAAGTTTTGACATACAAGTATTTTAACAGTACCAGGACTTTCAGCAAATGCTGATTAATTTAGATTTATTCTTTAGAAAAATATGCAAAAATATGATTACCTTAAAGAGCAAGAATGGATAATTTGGTTAGAGCGATTCTGATAAATTTATTCAATTTGAGTTCACTTTATCCAAAGTTTCGATTTTTTTGCTACTCACATTTTGCCTTCAAAACATATAATCGGAATGGATTAATGCTAAGTTAATAATAACAAGTTGCGGCTCCAACGTTGGCGCTCCAACTCAAACCTTATCATGATTTCAAAATTTATTGAAGTCCATCAAATTAATATTATTGTTCACTCATTATCAACTTTTGGCTCATAAAAGTGATGGCCTCTAATAACGCGGTGAAATTCAAAATGTTCAGTTGTGGCGTGATTTTGGACGACAGATTCAATCAGTTCGCTTGCTAAGCATGGCTTCAGTTTCGGACCAAAATCCTGTAAATTAGAGACGGCCAAATAAACTTTATCAAGAGATAACAGTTCTTGCATATATTGCAAGATTATTTGTGACAACTAACAAAAGCAGCTGGCAAACTATCTATTGAAACCTGAATGGACATTACTGCGACTTTAAAAAGAAAAGAAAGTAATGAATCAAACAATATTGAAAGTTCGATAAAGTATACCGCATGATATTGAGATTGTAATTCCATTTTACCACTTAAACGCAGAGTTGATTCAAGCTTTTTCTTATATACTGGAGTCATGTGTGTCATAGAATTCCCTGACAATATATATAAAGATTCAGTAACACCATCTTTGAAACGCGCTATGAACTAGCTGATTCATTTGGAAAGTTAATGGAACTAAAATATCTTAAATACTCAGTAAACGCTTTGCGCAGGACAAAAAAGAAGACTATTTGAAATAACTCTTCTTTTAATTTAGGAATATTTTAGCCAAATTTTACGAACCTTTTGATAGTTGTTCATGATCAATGATGTGTCGAACATCCTCAGATCGCACTCCTTCATAAAATGTCTCCATATAAGAAGTATGCCAACCATTCTTCTCGTTTCTAACTGTGTAGTCACTTCCTTGCATCTGTGCCTACGACAAAGAATACAAGCTTGAGGCACTTCATAAGCACATAACAGTTCGTTTAAATTTAAAAATAAAACCAACCAATTTACATCTTAAAATAAAGATATGAATAATGATACGGAAATGATATCAATGCTTAAAGATTCAGCTTTTCGAAAATATTATCGAACATGGACCTCTCCGATACCTCCATTATAAAATCTGATAATTAATTTCGATTACGATTTAAACTATGCATGTAAATAAGTTTCTCCTTCACAGCAACCACCAGCGACTAAATCATTTTAGTCATTCACCTTTTCCACTGCAAATCGCAATTCACTTTCAATACGAAGATCTTGATGACTAAAATTTCTTACATTCAATTTATTTCCTATGCGAGTAAGAATAGAGCTTCACAGACACAATTAGATTTTAAAGGACCGATGCAAAATGCCAAGTTCATTCATGGAAATACTTGTAAGGTTTCGTATTTTTCTCAGAGAGCTGAATTCTATATTCATCACATTAGAACAGGATCAACTTTATACCCAAAGATCTGCATGCATCTTTTAATCAGCAGAATCCTGAAATGCATCCTGGAAAGCAATATTGCCACAAAGATACAAAGTCCATTCATTCTGAAGTGGGAATAATTTCCAATGTCTCACGATTAGGTAATCAACAGAGATCCATAGAGTTCTATTACGAATGAAGTGCACATTTCAATTTACTTCTCTATTTACTTCATGCAGAGAATTCATGAACCTCATGATAACTAAGATTCTGCATCAGCAATACATCATATTCCCAACCAAATTTTGTTATAATCGGTTCCGTACTTGAGAGATACAATCAAACAACCGTTAATACAACAGACTCTAATCTATCTCTTTTTCTCATGAACATTGGATATTTTCCTTAGGATATAATCTAGATGCATTACGCTCTCCTTCACCATGTCGCCCCCTTAGTCTGTACTGATCTGCATTCAATGAACATAAGTTAAAAATAGGCAAAAAAAGAATGAGCACAACCGAACATTCCTAGCCCTTTACAGCTCAGATGCCCCATGTCTAACTATATCAAAACATTTCTTCTACTTCAAAATAAATTTCACCATTTTTAGTTTCCACAGTATAGTTAAGACCACCAAGAATCAGGAACGACACTGTCTGTCTCTCTTAATCGATTCCTGCACTTTCGTTCCTTGATTGTAGCCGTCACTAATGCTGCTAATCAAGAGAGTGCTTTCGCTACATGAATTCGAAAGAAATCCATGATCCCGTAAAATTTTCGAGCGACTTCATTTTGATATAAATTTGACTGATAAAAAAACGATAAACTTGGCGTCTCTGTCATTAACAGTACACAAGGATCTAATATATAATATAACGATTTTTAGGCAGATGATATGGGCCGGTACCTTCCGTATTCCAGATTCTCCAGGTCGTACGGCTTCAAATCGCCCGCCTTTCTTACTAGTGTACTCTCTGACAGTATGGGTTTCTGAAGTAA